TGAGTTCTGTCAAGTCCGCCTTGCCCTTTACTTTCACTAGATCCTTGACTACATCCATAGCCACATGCTAATCCTGTACATCAAATTATTCTTAACTAATCTTGCAACTATATCCCACTTGATCAATATTTATTTAAACAATCTTTTGCAAAATTAGAATAAGGTCGTCTTTGGTGTATCTCGTCTGCAATTTAAAATTCATATAGATAAGTAATAAAGTTTCTGTAGTTTCATACTCACCCTTGATCTTCAAGCTTGCGAAGTTTCTGATTGCAAGAATTGCAGCACAGTTGATCTTCAAAACAAATAACCTCGAACCACAAATAAAAAAAATATAATTAGTCTCGAAATCCTATCTATGAACAAGGTCTTGAAGTTAGCAAACTTAACCTAGCCTTGTTACTGTGACACACCATGATCATTAGGTGCAATTGTCCAAATACCTCACATTACTAGTCCGTCGAATTTGGCCTTCATATCTATGGTACTCATAAGAAGCAAAAATTCCCCAAGAAAGTAACAAATAGGTGCTACGTGAGTTACTCTGTAGCAGAGGCAGCAATGATAAAATTAACATTTTGCTGCATCGGCAAAGGTATAGTCTTTTTTCGCTTAGCATAAGAGCTACAATATACTCTACACTTTCCAGAAAAGTAAATAAGACAATTAAGCGAACTCAATAATATGGAAGATACCGATAAAGTAATCAAGAACAGGGAATACCAGATAATGGCTAACTTTACAATAAGTTTAGCAGGACGTAGTTTTGTTACCTCTTCAGTTTTTTTGTTGGCTATATCATTCTTATGTACTGTCTTTATTCGCTTCTTCAATTTGCTTCAGTACCCTATTCTCATAACTATCACCTTCCATCTCAGCTGAAGGGAATTCAAGTTCTACTTCTTCTTCGTTTCACGCTCAACCATCTCTTAACTTTTAAGGGATCTACCTTCCCATCACCTCTAGTTCTGACAGAGTTATGACACCCTTACGCTTTTAATCCTGCACCAGTCACACCATTTCTAAATTACTATAACTTCTAAAAGTATCTTAAAGGGCACATTCAACTACTCAAGGGTAGGCATAAAATAGGACAAGAAATCAAACACAGAATTCAAAAAGAAAAGAATATCCAAGAGCTTATTTTACATCCATACTATAACCACAACTCATGTACATTCATACATGGGATATTCATCCTCAACTGTTATAAACAACACACCCTGTGGAAGAACTATAAATTCAAATTCATATATATGTATGTCGTTGCAAATCTCAACATACTAAATATGGTAACTAAAGCTAAGTCTAGATCAGCTGGGGTAAGACTTAGGCTCAATGAAAGAAGTTCAGACTCAAGGAAACACAGAGAATGTGTGTTCATTACTGCTCTGGAACTTTAAAAATGAGCAGTTTTAGATGCAGTCATTTTTATTCAAAAAGTCGAATCCCTTTAGGTAAGTGCCGCTTACCATTAATTGTTTAACAAAATGCTCCAGTTCATTGACATAGCTATAGCTATAACAATCAATATGAAATTGATTTATTGGTTGGCTCTCTTGTTGCCATTCTCTCTGGCCTTTACTTTTTTGGGCATCGTTCTGCAAAATAAAAGGAACATAATTATTTCTCCTTTTTCATAAAGTAACTATAAGGAGATAACACTGATTACTCCAAGAATTCTACAAAAAATTCAGAGTCAACTGGCTAGCACGAAAAACTGATACTTTTTTTTCTCTATTATTAACTCAAATCTTTCACTTGTAGTTGCAAAGTGAACAACAATCCAGATACAATATAATGAAAGTAGACAAAGGCAACCCAAATGGGTAATGTATTGGCAGGCAAGAGCAAATTATAATAGATTGATAATTTCTGTAGTGGCCTCAATACACCTTTAAGTGGATTTGCATATGCTGACCCCATCATCCATATTCTTTAAATGATAATATTTGAATACTTTTATCTTCATTGGCTAACAGAAATAGGAATTCCAACAAAACTAGAAATTTCTAAAAGTGAAATCAGATGTGATTCAAACAAACAATAACCAAAAAAAAAGCTAGCTGAAGTGTCCAGTATTGCTACTGAAACAAGCAATCTAACTGAGAATTAAATAAGCATGCTTTCTGTTATGAAAACTATTTTCCCTAAACTTATATTTGAAAAAGAAATATGATTCACTTACCGGAGTTCATTACAAAATCCACAGTTGCGTTAATCAGTTTCAGGATTAAAATAAAACCTATAATACCTGAAAACCTGTGATTTTTTTATCTGGGTGCGCGTTGTTTGGATGATGAAAAAACAACCATGTAGTAGCAGATAAAAAAATAAAGAAGAAAGGGCAATAAATGATGGTTACCTGAGATGGGGTTTGGTTATTGACTGAGTTCAACGGCAAGTCAGCCACCTCTTGGGTGAGTCCGTTCGGGGCCGGCTCTTGCTGTTCTTGAGAGAATCCTTTGCAACGTAACACCATGATTACTGAAAAAAAAATTGAGAAAACATAAATCAATTGTAATTCCTCATGAGGTTTTAAAAGAAGCTGTGAATTTTAGTGTTAAAACCTGAAAAAGGCAAGTTCTTTTATTAGCAAATGTTGGTGTGCTTGAAACAGAGTAGACTTTAAACAGAGACGACTTTTAAACAAAGAGAGTAGTGACTGGTGAGAGTCAGAAATTTCTGAGAAAGGTGTATAGAGAGCTACTCCGCATAAATTAAATGAAATTCCAACGCTATGTCCGCTACAAGCCTACACCGTCCAAGCAATCTTGCAATGCAAGTAAAAACATTTTAAAAAATAATATCAATATTAATTTGAGGTGGAGGTAACGAAGATCAAATTAAGCGATTTTATATTATTTTATTATCATACTTGGTTGTTAAATAATATAAGGTTCTAATAATTTTGTATTACCAATAGTTATTACTGTTGATAATATTGGAGGTAATCTGAATACCTCTATTTTCTTAAGTATTATAAGATGACCTTGATAATCTTATTTTCGTTACAATTATATCCCTTAAGGGGCGTTTGAATCATATAATGTTTTATTATAGGGTGATATTATATTAATAGAATAAAATATCACCTTGAAGATTATTGAGAATGTTTAGAAAATATATTTGACTGGGAGGATAAATAGGTGGTATGTTATGTAGATTATCAAATTACCCTCCTTTTTAAATATTAATATATCAGTATTTTTTATTATTATTTTTCGAATAATTTTCAACCCCCTACTTTTCATATTTAGCAAAAACACCCTAGCAACCAAAAATGTTTTAAACTTAACAAAAACACCACTACCCACCCCAAGCCACTGCCGGCAGCCTTTGGCGGTTGTTGGCCATGACGCCAGCAATGCCACAAATCTGGCCGTTTCATAACCATAGATCTAGCTGTTTCACAGTCATATCTAGCTTTTTTCGATAGATCCATGGTCAGAAAAAGCCTCATTGGCGCACGACCGACCATATATGGCCGGTTGTACACCATTATGACGACTTTTGGCAACCTGCAGCGACGGTCGACAGTGGCTACTTTTGGGTATAATGGCGTTTCTGTAAATAATGACAATAACAAGGACAATGTTATCCAAAAATTTTAAAAAGCAAGGACAAAAGTGTCTGCATAAGTGATTGGGTGTTTTGTAAATATTAACAAATATGAGGTTGTAATATGGACCAAATGCTCAACTGTTTAGGGGCAATATGGGAATAAATTGTAATAACAGGGTAAGTTTAATAACAGTGCCCAGTGCCCCCCCCCCCAAGGTATTAAGATTATCAGAAATTTACCCTCCAAATGCTATTGTTTGTCATAAAATATTCAGGGAATAATTTTTTACAAACTAACAAACATCGTCATCTACTCAATTTAAAAAATATTACCCTAGTTATCTAATATTAACCCGATTTAAATCCCCTTATTAATAAAAATTTTGGATAATAATGCCCCAATTTTAAAATAAATTTACATTAATATACTATTTCAATTTTACCCTTGTATAATTAAGTTGTTAGACAATAATGCCCTTTTATTTAAAACAAATTACAGATCACCACCACCACCACCCAACCACCAACGTTGACAATGGGCCAACCATCACGGACCGCCGTCGAAGTTCCTAAAAATGATCGAGATTCGCTGGGAGGCTCCGAGAGGCTTCGATATGATCGTTTCCGGCCATATTGATGGCCGAAAATAGCAATATCAGGCCAGATCCCTGGCCGATAATTTCCAAGGATCCGACCATTTTCGGCCATCAATATGGCCAGAAACCACTATATCGGAGCCTCGTGGTCACAGTGGGCTACTCACGACGACTTTCGGAGACTTCCGACTATGGTTTGTGGTAGCGACAGGCGACGGTAGGGCGTGGGGGTGATTTTCTCATAAATTAAAGTTTTATATAAGCGGTGATGTTTTAGCTAAATTTGAAATATTGGGGGTTAAAAGAAATTATTCAAAAATTAATAATAAAAATAATATTATATTAATATTTAAAAAGAGGCAATTTAGTAATTTAAATAACATACCCACCAATTTATTCCCCCTAACCAAACATATTAATATAACATACCCATAAACTAACCAAACACATTTTTCTAAAGATTCTCAGTAATCTTCAAGGTAATATAAGATTCTAGTAATCTAACATTCCCTGAACCAAACGCACCCTCAAGGATATTGTAGAAGGTTTGACTAAGTATAAAATGATAAAATCAATATTTGTAACATTATCTATATAATTCATTTCTAGCCCCAACTCTTTCAACTAATCACATTATGTTAAATCAAATTATATTAGTTAATCTATATACAATAAGAATAAGTTTTTAAATGAAATTCGATGCATATTCAATAAATGCAATTTCCATTACTTGATAAGTTCAAGCTAACAGAGTAAGATACTTCAGACTGAAATTTAGAAAGTCCAAACTTACTGAAGAAATAGAATCAAAATTGAAATTTTATTATTGAAGTTCTTTTAAATCAAAAATAAAATCTTTATAAAAAAGCTTTAGCTGGAATTTTTATTTATACATGAAACTTGAGCCAAAATCTTTTCTACATTACTCTGCTCCTCTCCAATTGCAATGCTCTTCATCTTCTAAATTAAAATTCTGCAAACAAGTAAAGAGCTTAGAATTTAAATAAAACAAAGTTTAATTTTAATCATTATTTATTATAGCTAATTTTGGGATTGCTATCTTAAGATTAAGCTAGCACTGAAAAAATGTTTGATAAATTCATTTTAGAAAGGGTTATAATCATTCCTTTTCATCTTTACCTTTGTCTTCCTTGCTATTTTCTTTTTTAATGGGAACAATCTCCACGCTTCTTTTGATTTTCTCTTTCAAATAAGGTGTCAATTTTTCCACATTCATGGTGCCTTCCACCACTACTAGATTTTCACCTGCGCTTATCGATACCCTCTCCACTCCTGCGGGTTCTAATAAACAAAGTCAAAAACTTGAATAATCCTAATTAATATTTTCTTAAATCTTGTTTAGATTGCTTTATTAGATACCTTCTATTCATTTTTATTTGCTTTAACTTATAATTCTGACCTTTGATCCTCAGAATGAGTCTCCGGATTTTTTGAATGCAATGATCACAATGCAATCTGATCTTCAAGAACACCATTGTACTCTGCACCAATTAGGTACACAAAACGGTAAGCATACATAAACTCATAAATTTACTTTTAATTTCTAAACTCACTATTTAAAAGAATAAGGATAAATACAATCATAAAGATAAGCCATACACTAATGATGCATGTAATTTGGCAGATTGCATACCTTTACCATAGCACCATCATCCTTGATTATTTTCCTGTCTCTACCTGTGAGTTCATCTTTAATACAGGTAGCACCATTTTCTGTCTTGATGGGAAACATGACTGCTGCATTATTCACCACCTCAATGTCCTTCTTGAGTTTGTTTTGGATATAAGATATGAATTCTGTAACTTCCATTGCGCCCTTTACCACGACTAAATCTCTCTCTACATCCATGGACAGCATTTCTAAACCTGTAATCAATTTTATCCTCAGTCGGTCATATAATTAGTATTCAACTTGCTATAAATTTAACTATTCTAATTATATCTTGAGTTAAACTGAAAAGATTAGCTAATAACAATAGTAATAATAAAAAGCAAAAAATTATACTAGTTTCATAATTTCTCACCCTTGACCTTCAATAACTTGTTGAGTTTTTTATTGCTAGAATCACAGCATAATTTCATCTTCAGAACAATTATACTCTGAACAACAAATTATAAAATCAGAATTAGTCATAAAATGTCATCTGATTAACAAAGGCCTAAGTAAACATGACCAAACTCACAGATTTGAAACACCATAGATATATCGAGAACTCATCATATACCTCAAATGACAAAATGCTGCCAATGAGTCAAAGGTAAAGGGAATGCAACAGAAGAGTCCAATTCAATGGGGTCATTATACCTGTAGTAATGGGAAGCTAAAGCTCCCACGAAGGGGAAAAAGGTACAAAATTGAGGTACTCTCACACCACAATGAAACAATAACACATTTTACCACCTCAACAAAGTATATTTTTTGTGCAGCTTAGCTTAAGAGCTAGAATACATATATTTTCTATAAAAGAAAATTCACTGATCAAGTGAACCACATAAAAGCAATTAAGCAGAAGCCATATTTGATAAAGGCTTATAATGCACATAAGTTTAGCATATACAATTCAAGGTTGCTATACCTCTTTCCTTTCCTCATCCGACATATCATTCTCATCTTGCAGCAGTATTCGCTTCTTCAATTTTGTTTCAGTACCCTTTTTCTTATCTCTATCTTTCATCTCAGCCTGAGGAAAATGTAGTTCTAATTTTGTTTCAGTTCCCTTTTTCCAATGCTAATCATTTTTTATATTTTGCAATACAAACTAAACCAATTACAAAAAAAATCCAATCATTCCAACCCAAACAAATTATAGTTTTCACGATTCAATTCAACCTTTCTAATCCAATGAAAACATATATGTAAATTTCAATGATCAATAATCCGATCCAATTCACCAATTCATCAAATCCAATGTTTCATTGGATCGGCTTGGTTTCAACACTCCTAAAAAAAAAAAAAAATCAATAATAACAATAGAAAAGCTAAGCTTAAATCATATATAAGAAGTAGTTCATAACAACTATATCTGTATTATATTTTGAAAGTTCATGCACTAAAATTACAGATAATAAGAAATTCATTTTAACAAAAATTTTATTACTGAAAATTCATTTACTGGAGACTATACAAAATATTGAAAGAAACCCACGTTGAACTCAATCAAGAATTCTGGGTAAGTTCTCTGGGTCATGAAACAACATTTGGAAACAAGAACCAAGAAGAAACAGCTATGAATGATCTTAATTCATTTCTGTTACTTACCTTAGGTGGGTTTCTGTTTTTGACTCCGCAGGGGCCCTGCTCTAGTACGTTATGAGAGAATCCTCTACAACGAAAAACCATTTTTCTGTAAACAAAACAAACCAGAGCAGAAATCAATCAGTTAAGTGTTAATTATACTAAAAACAAATGTTTAATATAGCGGTTAATTACCAAAGCAGCAGAGCTAAGGTGAAGATAAACTGCGTAAAATGTTTGCAAAATTAAGAAGGAAGATTAACAGTGAAACAAAAGGAATGAAATTGTTGAGCAACGCTTCTTAAGTTCTTGGTCAAAAGTTTCCGAGAAGTTTCAATCTTCAGTTCTTCACCTATATGACCCCTGCGCTTTAGGTCTATTTTCGGAGTCCTGCCATTTAAAATACTAGAATCTACCCCCCTTCAATTTAAGAAACTGTAGCAATTTTTTATATTTTTAATTATATTATTATTCAGTTAATACTTGAACAATATTAATAAAAGGGGAAGTCTGATTTTTAAACAGAAAAATTATCCTAATTAACAAATTATATAAACATTTGTTAAATTCAAGGGGTAAATTTAATATTTTAAAATATAAGGCCTAGACATAGTTGACAAAGTCTATCTCTCTCACATATAATGATAAAAACAATATCTGTTATAATTTTTGGTGTGTTCTCTTTATGAATTCCAAAATGTAAAAGAATGAAAATAAATATATTTCAAAAATAAATTATTAAGTTAAAAACAGTAAATTAAATATGTTTTTAGAGGAAAATTATCCAAAATAGAGCTTAATTTGATTAGATTAAAGAGTTAAAACAAGATATAATACAGACTAAACAAGAAAATCAAATTAAGTGAAGTTTTGAAAAGTAAAAGAAGAAAATATCGTGCTGGCTTTATTTGTTTGTGGTATTATGCACATGCAATAAAAGCATTTGACTATTAAGTCAAACTGAAATACAACGGTGGGCCTATTTGATCAATTTAGTGTCAGGATAGCCCCACATGTTTAGAGATTTTTAATTTCGTCCAAACCATACGTTTTAAAAATACATGGATAGCCCTCAGTTCAAAAATATCTGTTAATAAATTATAAAATGTAAAATTTCATTCAGTTTCAAGGATATTGGAGTAGGTTTGACTGAATATAAAATCGATATTTTTATTTACTCAAACCTTCTACAATATCCTTTTTAAGGAAAAGAATAAAAAATCCCTCTTTAGAACAATATATGTAGCAGGAATTTTTATTTAGACATGAAATGTGAGCCAATATCATTTCCACATTACTCCATGCTCCACTCCAATCGCAATGCTCTTCATCTTCTAAATTAAAATTCTGCAAACAAGTAAAGAGCTATTTTAGAATTGTAATAAAACAAAGTTTAATTTTAATCATTATCTTAATATTAAGCTAGCACTGAAGAAATGTTTAAGAAATTCTTTTTTAAAAAGGGTTATTATCATTCCTTTTCATCTTACCTTCGTCTCCGTTGCTATTTTCTTTTTTAATGGGAACGATCTCCACGCTTTTTTTTTATTTTCTTTTTCAAATAAGGTGTCAATTTTTCCACATTCATGGTGCCCTCCACCACTACTAGATTTTCACCTGCGTTTATCAATACCCTCTCAACTCCTGCAGTTTTATAAGACAAAGTCAAAAACTTTTATCATCCTAATCAATGATACCTTATAATCATTTTTATTCCATTAATTTTACTAATAATTCTGACCTTTGATACTCAAGATAGCTCTCAGGGTATTTCGAATGCAAGAATCACAATCTAATCTCGTCTTCAAGTTCACCACTGTACTCTGCACCAATTAGGTACTGATTAACTAAAATGTTCATTAGGTTGTATGAACTAGAAAGAGGAATCAACAAAGTAACAGAAGAGTGAAAGTATGACACACTTGAGATAATAAAAAATATAAAAACACAGTAAAAGAATAAGGGCAGTTATAATCATAATGATAATGATAAGCCATACATCAAATAATGTATGTAAGTTGGCAGATATGCATACCTTTATTGTAGCACCATCATCCTTCACTTTCTTACTGTCCCCATCTTTGCCTTCGTCTTTCTCATCGGTAGAACCATTTTCTGCTTTGGGGGGAAACATGACTGCTTCATTATTCACCACCTCGATGTCCTTCTTCATTTGTCCTGGATATCAGATATGAATTCTGCAACATCCATTGAGCCCCTGACCTTGATTATATGTCTCTCCTCATCCACGGTTAACATTTCTAACCCTGTAAGTCAATTTATCCTCAGTCAATCATGCAACTAGCACTAAACTTGCTATAACTTTAACTATTCTAATTAAACAAAAACATTTCAGTTAATGCTGATAAGATTAGCTAATAACAATAGTAATAATAAAAAGCAAAAATCTATGCTAATTAGTAGTTACATAATGTCTCACCCTTGTCCTTCAATATCTTTTTGAGCTGGTTATTGCAAGATTCACAGCATAGTCTCACCTTCAGATCAATTATGCGCTGAACAACAGATTATAAAATCAGAGTAAGTCATAAAAATGTCATCTAATCAAGGAAGGCTCGGTAAACATGACTAAGACTCACAACTCTAAAACACCATAATTACATCCAGACTCATCAAATGCCTCACATGACAACATGCTGCCAATGCGTTGAAGGTAAAGAGAATGCAACAGAAGAGTCCAATACAACTGAAGTAGAAGCTAAAGCTCCCAAGAAGAGGAAAAAAAGGCACCAAATTGAGGTACTTTCTCATCACAATGTAAAAATAACACCTTTTGCCACCTCAACAAAGTATAATTTTGTGCAGCTTAGCTTAAGAGCTAGAATACATATACTTTCTATAGAAGGAAATTCACTGATCAAGTGAACCACATAAAAGCAATTAAGCAGAGGCCATATTAGTTAAAGGCTTATAATGCACATAAGTTTAGCATATACAATTCAAATTCGCTACCTCTTGCGTTTTCTCACTCAGCATATCATTCTCATCTTGCGGCAGTATTTGATTCTTCAATTTTGTTTCAGTTCCCTTTTTCTCATATCTACCTCTCGCATATCAGCCAAAGGAAAATGTAGTTCTAACTTTGTTTCAGTTCCCTTTATCCAATGTTAATCGTTAGTAAAGTTTGCAATACAAATTAAACCAGTACAAGTAAATTCCAATCAAACAATTATAGTTTTCATGATTCTTTAACCTTTCTAATCGAATGAAAACATACATGTAAAAAATTTCAATGATCAGTAATCCAATCAATTCACCGATTCATCAAATCTAAATGCTTATTGGTTTGGATAACTAACATCCTACCTCTTTGGTCATATATGAGTCATTCAAAACTGAACTTTTTATATTTATATTTTTTTGAAATTTCATGCGCTAAAATTACAGTGGTTGAAATTCAATTTAACAAATTTTTTTTTACCAAATTGAAAATAATCCCGTTGAACTTAAGAACCAAAAAGTGTGTGACTCCTTTCTGGGTAAATTCTCTGGGTCATGAAACAGCGAGGAAACAAGAAACAAGAAGAAAACAGGTATGAATGATTTTAATTCATTTCTTATTACTTACCTTAGGTTAGTTTCTGTTTTTGACTCGGGTCGAGGCTTGCTCTTGTACATCATGAGAGAACCTTCAAACGCAAAACCATATTTTTTTTTCTGTAAATACAACAACCAGAAGAGAAATCACGTTAATTACACGTTCAAAATTGTTCAGTATAGCAATTACCAAAGCGGCAATGCTAACTGTATAACTGCGAAATTAAGAGTAAGGCAAGCGTTAAAGTGTCTGAAAATGAAAGGAAAATGACCATTGAAGCGAAAGGAATTCTAAATTGTTGAGCAATGCTTCCTAGTCAGAACACAGAAGTTTCCAAGAAGTTCACTGTTCACATAAGTAAAATTTGTTGTAATTTTGTTTTTGATTTTATTTTTATTTTACGAATCTTCCTCTGTACGTCATATTTTTTTCTAAAAGAAAATACACTCGAGTTCCAACTTTAGCTTAAAATTCTTAAAAACACCACAACTATCATTAGATTGTCAAATGTCTTTCATGCCCTTAATCTTTTTCAGTAAAGTGAGTTTCTGTTAAAAGTGAAATATTTTCACAATGTTTAGAATGGCAATCAGAATTTTTTTCTTTTTCTTTATTTTTTTAGGAGGGTTGATTTTTTTAAACGTAAATAAAATAATATTTCCAATCTTAATTGTAAAAATATATTGTATTGTGCATAATATTAATTGAACTTTATTTAGTCTTGTATAGAATGTTGTTTCTGATTTAAAATGGAGAAAGAAATGTGTGAAAATAATATAGAATATAGAATAAATAAAGGGTTTTAAAACATTAAATATTTTATATAATTTAATTTAATTTTTAAATTAAATTAAATTAAATAGAATGTTGAGGTCTAAATGTCTAATTCTGCCCCTAGTTTTATAGAAATACCAAGGTTCTGCAACCCGACCTGGCGTGTCACCCGGCCAAGGGTCTGACTTAGGTTACCAGTGATCCAGCAAGTTTGAAATATTGCAAACACACCCCTAAAAATTATGGCAGTCCCTGTAGGTTTGAAATCTAGCAAATATACCCCTGTAATCTGATCCAAAATTGATCTTTCCGAACAAATTCTAACTGATTCCGGTGGCCAAAATTCAATCTAACGCCACCACCTGAACCACCTTCCTCCACTCTACAAAACCCCTCTAACCTTGGAACTTGGTAGCCCACCGTTCACCAGCCGTAACTCACTAACCTTGTTGCAATTGGGTTGATTTTTTTGACCAAATTTTGGCTGATTTCAGAGTCCAAAATTCAATCTGACACCACCACCTAAACCACTAGCCTCCACTCTACAAAACTCATCTAACCTCGACACTTGGTAGCCTCCCATTCACGGGTCATGACTCGCATATTAGGTTGATTTTTCTGGCCAAATTTTGGCTAATTCCGACGTCCAAAATTCAATCTAACACAACCCCTTGAACCACCGGCCTCCACTCTACAAAACCCCTCTAAGTCTAACTCTGACAATTAGTAGCCCCTCGTTCGCTGGCTATCAGTTTAGGAATTCTGTGAACAATTGAAAATGATAATCCAAACCGGTCTCGTCCGATTTTCAGAACATGGAGAAATATTTCTTCAAAAACTATTCTTAATACAATGTTTTTCATATTAAAATGTCTCTTTCATTTTGTAGAATAGTTCTTTGAAAATAACTTTGTAAATAATATTGAATGAATACGAAAATATTGTATAATATTCAAAGTTATATTAATAATTATAAAATTATGTATATTTAATAAATGGGTTGTCTTAACGTTAAGCACACTAAAAACCAAAAATTTAGCATTTGATACATTAGAAATCACCAATGCTAGTTTTACAAAGACACATATAAAAGGGGCATACAAAGACAATCTCCACCCTTAATTTTCATGATCTCTCTCTCTCTCTCTCTCTCTCTCTCTTTTTCCATTGTGGGTTTTTTTTGCTTTTTTTGTTTTGTCTTTTAATATATATCAAAATAAGTAAATATTTTGTCTTCTTGTTTGCTTAACATGTGCCCTAAAAACACACGTTAAGACAAACCTTAATTAAATTATATAAATTCGTAATTATAACAATAATTTAAAGTGTAAAAACCTTTAATTGTATATGTATGTATGCATTTATAATATTATGCATCCCAAAAGTTATTCAAAAATTCTCATCCCAAATGATGTATAATTCTATGTGATATTAAGGTAGAAATGAAGTGGTGATTTGGTGAACAACTTTACTCATTCTAAAAGGAAAACACCCCATTTAACTTAGGGGTTTGTTTTAACCCTCCTGAGATTTAATTAAATAACAAATGTCTTCCTAAGATTTAAAATATAACATAAATCTCCCTTCTTGTTGTTAGTGTATTGTTAAAATTTATAATATGATTTGTTAATGTATATTTACAAAATTACCCCTATGTTGTTTATTTTAACACCAAAATATTAATAATAAGGGAATTCTATTATTTTTATAATTAAAAGGGATTAGAGAGATTATTATTATTAACCCTTTGGGGGCGTTTGAATCATATGATATAGAGGTATATTATATTAACGGAAAGAAATATCACCTTGAAGATTACTTGGAATGTTTAGAAAATGTGTTTAGTTGGTTCAAATAAATTAATAAATAATATGTTTGGTTGGGAGGATAAATGGTTGAGTATGTTATACAGATTACTAAATTGCCCTTCTTTTTAAATATTAATATAATAGTACTTTTCATTATTATTTTTTGAATCATTTCTTTTAACTCCTTACATTTGAAATTCTGCTAAAATACTCCAGCCATATAAAACTTTAATTTATAGCAAATCACCTCCACTCACCCAAAGCCACTGCCAGCAGCCAACCACCACCACCGGCCGCCGCTGATAGTCGACAGAATGGTGCACAATTGGTCGTATATGGCCGGTCGTGCGTTGGCAAAGCCGAAAAAGGCCATGGATCACAAATCCATGGCTAGAAAATGGCCAAATCTATGGCTATTTCATGGCCACATCTTTGGCCGTGAAACAACCATATAAACGCCAAATCTGACAATTTCAAACCATGGATCATAGATCCATGGCTGAAAAAAGCCTTATCGGTGCACAACTAGTCAGATCTCACCGATCGTGCACCATTGCGGCGCCTAACGCTGGCGATGGTGAGTCACGACCGGTGGTGGTCTTGGGTGACTGCATGTATTTTGTTAACTTTTAAACTTTTTTGTGGCTTGGGTGTTTTAGCTAATTTCGAAAATGTAGGAGGGCTGGGTAATTGTTATTTGGTAGACATTTGAGGGCAATTATGTTCGAAATGGTTTTTAATTAAGGGCAAAATGGGTAGAAAAATTGTATTACCTCGGTAATATTTTAATAACACCGCTTAACAAGGTAATAAGATTACCCCTCACACTACCAACAATAAACACTATTTGTAATAAAAGATTACCGTAATATTTTATTACATGCAAACCAAACACAGGAATCTTGCAAAATAAACGAAGTTACCTCTATTATCTTATTTATCTCCAATCCAAACAACCCCTTAATGTATCTGTTATGCCCCAGAACCAGGGTTGGCGTAAGCATATGTCAGCAGAAACCAATCCGGATTCAAAAAGGTTTTCTGCCGTCTAGATGCAACCACGTCCCGCAAGGACAAGAGGGGTAAGGCCATTGTCAGTGAGGCAGGTGAACACCAGTCCTATGAGTGGCTGGGAATTGTCCACTTGCTAAAGCCATACGCGATTTAAGGATATCTCTCATGCAAACAACCAATAGGAAGCGAGTTAGGAATTGTACCAAACCTGCCCGCATGCAGAATCATGATTACCAGCTTGTATCCTCCAACTATAAATATAAGGCTGTCCTCTATTTTACAAGATTGGCTCATCCACCACTTAAACACATACACTCTTTTTCCCTCTCTTTACATTTATTTTCTCTACTGTAATTCTGCTCGTTGAGTACGACCTAATTGTAATCAACCATTAATATAATCACAGTGGACGTAGGATTCACCTTAGAGCATCTGAACCACTTTAAAAATTGTTACTCTCTCCATTTCTCATTTTGCACTTCCATATCACATGTGATTTCGAAATCCGCTTAGCACTTCACGCGTGCAAATAGTTGGTGTCAAAATCAAGCATCAACAGTTTGGCGCTAGAATGAGAGCCACATTTAGTATCCGCTCTTCATCAAAAACCTCTGACCGATCCTGTCCACCAGCTAATGGCTCGCGGTTTCGAAACTGAACGAACCAACATCGACAATGAGGAAATCCCCCAGGTACGGAATAACACTTCTCTTGAAGTGCCGCCAGTCCAGCAAAGTATAATGGCGGATATTCCTTCGAGCTCACAACTCGACCCAGCCGTGACGAATTACCTGCAGAGGTTCAACAATACTCTCCAAACGGTTAGCTAGAAGTTGGACCGTTTGGACCAAGTCATGCCACCAGAGTCTAACAAGGCGATGCTACCGCCAAAAACACCTATAGGCGCAAAAGTGCAGAAAAGGGAAAAGGCCCGAACTGCGTGCACTGCAACGAGTAAAAGTAAGGGGAAACAAGTGGCGAGTAGTGGACTAGGAGGCTCCGAGGGGCTAGCGAACATCGATCACGCGGCGAGTAGAATACCTGTGGCATTGCGACTTGGTGACATGTCGCAGCCTGAGCCGTCCTACGCCACATTATATGGGTAGACCCATAAAAGTGCAGGTCGAGGGGATTCCCAGCCTCATCAAAATAATGGTCCAGACCATCGCTGCCGAGGTAACCCCCACTATGCGCAGGTCAATTCTGACCACCACGGGGGTCAGGAAAATTGCCTGAGCCATTTGCTACCCTTACACAACCCTAGCCAACATATGTCAGGGCGCATTGGAGCTTCCAACCGGGTAGCAAAAGGGTCAAACCTTTGGTCCTTCCTCAATCACAACCGTGAGGGTGGAACCCACGTTGCGAAAAGTAACCCCCCGATAGCCCCGCTATCTCAGATTGAGGAGCTGCAGTGACAATTGGATCAACTCAGGGCTCAACAGAACAAACAGGGTAAGGTCCCTGAGGCGTACCCCTTCTCTCTAGCAATACTAGCTGCTACTCTCCCATCGAGATTCAAGATGCCCGACATGCGGGCATTCGACGAAAATTTTGATCTGCAGGACGACCTCTACGAGTTCAATGTCTTATGGAACTCCACCAAGTCTTTGACTTGGCCAAATGCCACTGCTTAGCAGTGATATTAACCGCC